TTATTGATAGTCTAGAATCCATAAAGTAGATTGTTGGACACTGTTTAGGAAACAACGCATCTTAGATTATCTCATAAGCCAAACGGTAAATATGTATACATACTAATTTTTACTTTTGATGACTCATTAAGGCTAGAATTTTATTGTGGATTGTAATTCGTTCAATGAATTTTTGTGTTAATAACATTTTTAAAATGCAATCCACTTTCTGTATATTACATTTCCATGTAACCAATGAAATGAAATAGTCGCCTTTAAGCTTATAACAACATAGGATGTTATACAATTCCCGCTTTTATGCCTAAATACCGCAGATATTCTCATTATTATTATTATTGTTTCCTTTAATTCCTAGAAGAATATAGGGCTTCAGCCGTTCGTCTCCATTGCGTTCGCTTCTCTGCTAGAGTCTTCAACTGGCTCCAAGTCTGCCCACACGTCTTCATCTCCTCTTCACATGGCCTCCTCCAAGTCACCCTAGCACTGACGACCAACTCGTCGCTTCCCTTTCGATTTCCACTTGAGGTCTTGTCTAGTGATGTCACTCGATGGTTTCCTCGGAGTATGGCCAATCCATCTCCATTTCTTCCTGCCTATTTGTTTCACAATCGGTTCCTGGTTGGTTCGCTCCCAGAGATCCCTGTTGCTGATCTTTTCTGGCCATCTGATCTTGAGTATTGAGCGAAGACAACTGTTAATGAAGGTGTGTAGTTTGCTTGAGATGCTCTTTATGACGCGCAGTGCAAGTCTCTGATCCGTATAGTAGCACTGACTTCATATTGGAGTTGAAAATCCGGATCTTATTTTTGATTCTGAGTGTTGCTGACTTCCACACAGACTTGAGAGTAATGAAAGCTTGTCTTGCTTTTCCGATTCTTGCTTTGATATCCTCGTCAGTTCCGCCTGTAGTTGAAACGATGCTTCCCAGGTAGGTGAAAGAGGTTGTTTCTTTCAGGTTCCTTCCATTTATGCTGATTGTTGTCTATTGTTGTTGTTGTTGCTGTTAGTGTTGCCCAGGAATCTTCATCGCCTCTGTTTTCTCTATGTTCACCTGAAGTCCTATCTTTGATGCTTCTTCTGCCAACTTGTTGCTTTTCGCTTGCATATCTTCGAGTTTGTGGGAAATCAGACATATATCATCGGCGAAGTCCAGACCCTCCAAGACTTTTGTGTGAGTCCATTTTATGCCTGTTTCCTCATTGCCCGCTGTTTGTCACATTATCCAATCTACTGCAATCAGGAAAATCATTCTCATATTTCTGGTGAAATTATTTCAAGATTTGAACTAGAAGTCCTCTCCATCATTTGAAACAGACAATTGTTTACTGTCAACTGGAATTTCATGTAGTCGTGTCATGCTTAGAAATGGTGTGTTATCTCCCGTTTATGGTCTTATCATATGCTAGAAACTGACTAGTACATTCTGGAAGTGCATAGACATAGGATAATCCAACAGATTTTCGCTTGTCTACGCTAGTTAAACAAACGGTCACCAGTGTAGCCTAGATATTACAATCACATTATATATTAAGTTGAAACAAAAACTTGGTATATTATTGGCACAAAAGGATGAGCTATATAAAATCTGACAGTTTGTGCCAGAGCTTCAATAATCTCAGGGCACCTACACCGAAGCATGTGGTTGTTTCAAGGGGCTAATCTCCCCTCCTCTGAACCTTTTACATGAAGCCTGATCCAAAAACAGTGGAACAGCGTCAGGAACAGCTGCTCCCCACGGTTACCGGTGTCTAAACAGGTGAATACACCATTCGACCCATCCAGATTCTGAGGCCCATGTACACCATAGGTTTAGAATCATGGTTTTTTTAGCTCCTTTAGGTAGACCTATATGTCACCCATCCGGTTGTAAACGTCAGGCGCTTGTATTCGCCCATTCGCTTTTGTGAGGAACACCAGTGTCCTGTGAAGGCTATGAACGAGTAGTCACGTGAGTGCATTTCGAGAAGGAGACTGAAGTACATCCACCACGCCTGACCACACGAGGTCGTTTATGGGAACTATATGACCACATGTTAAATTTTGACTATCATTTCTATTGGTTTGATATTAGACTGAAATAGTAACGCTACTTTATTTAAGATAATGTGACATGCTAAACAAAAAATTATATCATTTGAAAAATAACTTTGTGGTTTGTTTACCAGCAGATGAAAGCCTGATATCTGTGAATATAAGTAATAAAAAACGCATGTATTACTGGCACCAAACCTTGGCTGGTTGCGAAAATTATAGGGTCTATATATCTGGTGGCACAAAAGAAATAATTCTTTCCAGCAGACTGATTGATTGTACTTTATGCTTGAGAGCATTTTTTCCCTGGCATGCTATCACTCGCTGGATAAAAGCATAAGTGTGCATATCAAGAGAAAGAGTATTTTGTTTATATTACCTCCAATGACTTAAGAGAACACTTGTTGAATTGCACAATCTTCACTTTTTCACTATGACAGATTTGAGCAATATGCGTGATTTTTCACTCCTACTATTTGTTAGGACCTCGCGAAGCCATCAGAAGGTAAGCTATTTCGTGAAGTATTCATTTTCACAGACTTGAAACACACTGACAGTCCAATGTAAAACAATAACCTATCATCTAGTCTTATCTCGGAGATTTATTGCATCAATACAAAAACACTTCTGACAAGTCACTGCAGACTCTCATCGAAAGCCGTCTTCTCTGGCTTACCAAAGAATATGAGATGACGAAAAAGAATTTGCAGCGAGGAACTCTAGCAAACAATGAACCAATTAATATAAGAATAAAACTTGGGCACTGTGGTAGAGTGTAATTCCATTATGGGTAAATTTTATTTTGATAGAGTCTCACAGTGTTATACAGTAATATTTACTGATGACGTTTCGAGCACAATTTATTGCTCATAATCATATCAAGGTAATCACACGACTTCCTAAATTCATTTATATAGTTCCATTGTTTTTCACTTGATTTTCACTTGATTTGATTGGTAGTATTATTTTCCATATTTCAGGTATGAGTGATGATTCATTCCTATTGCATGTGTTGGGTGTAGATTCGATGAACAAAGATTCAGTAATCAACCTCTCTCTCCACCTACCTAGATTACTTTTTAGAATTTTAACCCTCTCCCACCCTATTGTGTGGTTGTGTGTTAATGCATGCATTGCAATTGCCGAGCTTTTTTCTAAATTACTTATCTTCTCTGGGTCAACCATTCTTACCTTAGCTAAATTCTTATGTTCTGACAATCTGACTACCCCTGACCTACTAGTTTGACCTATGTAGTTGACCTCACAGTCATTGCAGGGTATTTTGTAAATTATATTATTTTGTCTAATTGGGTCAACCGACAGGGTCCTTTAACCTACAGAGCTTGTCCCTGAGTGAGTTTGTAGGTTTAAATGCCACCCTAATTCCTGCTTTATTTAGAATCCTACGTAGGGTCTCAGATGTCCCCTCTTTATATGGTATAACTGTAGATGACTTATATTCTCTCTTATTTATGTTATTACTACTAGTTTCACAATTCTTTTTATTTTTCTTTTGGCGTTTTTCAATCTTCCTAATGAATTTTAGAGGATAGTTATTTAAAACCAACGCCTCTTCTATCTGTTTTATTTCATCATTAAGGTCTTTTTTTGTGCTACTTAGTGCTACTGCTCGGTTTGTTAAACACTTAACTAAGCCTGCCTTAACAGTTAAAGGATGAGATGAATTAAAGTCTAAATATCTATTAGAATGCGTTGGTTTTCTATAAACACTAGTGTGTAGTTTGCCTTCTTCTATTCGTTTTATTTTACAATCTAACATAGCTAATTCTCCTTGCTCATTTTCGGTTTCAAATGTGAATTTTATTCCCTCCACTAGTGAGTTTATGTGTGTCAAGAAGCTAGAGATATGTTCTGTTTTTAACACTGTGAAAGTGTCATCCACATGTCTCCACCATATTTTTGGAACCAATTAACAACACATTACCAAACAATTATCATAAAGGAAATATAAATCAACTGGACATACATTCTCTGAGGCGACGGCTGAGTAACACCAGGCACTAAGCAAGCCTCCCGAACAGGGAATGACCGGATGGGTGTGGGTTCGACGGTAACATGAAAGATACCGTGTGATCAGGAAGAAATGAAAGCTCAAAGGGTAATTATGTTAACAACAGAGAACACAATGAAATGAATGTGTGAATTTGAAGCACTGGGTTCCATTCGGAATCCAAAGGAATAATAATAATCATGTATCTGGTTTTCACACTAAGAGAACGCAGACTGAAATACCAATGTAGTTTCATATTCCTTCGCTATGCGTTTTCTGTTATTTCGTGACAAGTACTGACTGACTGACCGATAAGTCGACGAGAAACTACGATGCATAGAAGTGCACTAGTTCCAGTAACTATATTTCATAAAATAACATAAAAAAGTGGAACAATAACAAAGTGATACTAGAAAATAAGTACAACAGACAGACTGCCAAGCATTTTACTCCTGTTTTTGTACAGTAGCAACTACCAAAAATATGTTCTCCATTCCCTCTCCGAAACAAGTCCATGTATTTATCAAGTAAAAGAAAGAATTAGACACCTCAGTGTAGAATTGGACAGCAGTAGTCTTCAATCTGGTTTGCTATTGTTCAGCTGTGAACGCGCTCTACAAATCTCACAACAGATCATACACTTAGGAGCTTAAGGTTACTAACCAACAGTTCATTAGACCATTTAGTAGCCACTGAGTCAGAATTCAATGACCTGTGGACTCTTTCTACCATTAATTCACGAGCTCGCACACTGCTGAAAAACTCAAAACTAGGTGGGATGAAACAGCCATTCCGAAACGCTTCTCTTTTCAATGAGACGATCTAATTGTGTTATGCACAGTGAAAGTCACCAAAACAACGACTTAAAAGGTGGAAAGAAGTAAAATGTAGAAAAACTGGAAATCAAGCAAAGAAAAAATAAATAAATAATTAAAACAGATTTACTCTCATATCTTACCTGAGGTGTATATTTCACAATTGAGATGACTAGTTTCACATGAGATAATAGATAAAAGGTATCCAACCATTGTACAACATTTGCACCACCTATTATACACACAATGATTGTATATATTGCGATCAGAATTATTAACCCTATGCACAATTTGGAGACACGCTGGTCACCACGCTAAAAAATAATATACAGGAGAAAAAAGAAAGAAAAGCAAAGATATAAGAAAAAGATGAACTTTTTTATCGATTTGTACTTCTGTGTTTATATTGTTATTGTTAATATCACTGTTCACTGATTATAGTGACTAGTCGTCAGTGTAAGAGGTTTGAGAATAAATTATTCGTAATAAAGGAAGAGCTTACAAGTTGAATAAACAAAACAAAAAAGTGGGTAGAGCTAAAATATGATTAGGGATTATCATACTTTGACATTGAGGAAGGATTAAGACCATGAAAGTTGATGGGGTTGAATGAACTTTTTATGTATACAGAGACTTGCCTTTTCTGTTTCGCTAGCCAAAGCTTCAGCAGTACAGATGAGCTGGATAAGTAGTGATTTGGGCAAATTACTTTTCGCCTTGTAGAGGACTTTAAAGATGGGTGATCATTATTGACCAGATTTCGAATGATTGCACTCCTGATTGCTCTACTTCCACCTCTTCCTAACCATGCAGAATAGTGTTCTTGCACCGTCTTGGACAAAACCCGAGTCGAACAACCGATATACCTTGCTCCACACAAGGAGGTGAATTTATAAACGCACACAGAGTCGGTCAGCTACTGGATCTTGTCCTTCAGGTTATTGAACAGTAATCCCTGATCATATTTTAGCTCTACCTAGTTTCTCGTTTTGTTTACTCAGTTTGTATACTCTTCCTTTATTACGTCACTTGTTACTATAACTATTCTCACTTTGAACTGTCCCCGGTATTTTTTCACTCGTTCCACTTGTCTTTTTAAATCAATAAATTATTCCTTTATGAAGGATAAGGCTGCCAACTATCATTAATTATTATTATTATTCCTGGTTGCTGCAGACTGTTGGCGGAGAAAAGATAGAAAAAGTTGGACCTATAAGGAGACTGTGGAATATTTAGACTTCGTGGATAATTTGTCTCCATTGACATATCAGTTAGAAGACCTATCGGTCAGTGGAAGAAATTTGGAAGAGGACAATTCTTTCACTTATCTAGGCAGTATTACTTCAACTACAGGTAGTCAGAACGCATCAGGATGTCGTAGTCAGAATCTGAAGGCAGGACAAACCTTCATTAATCTGCAACCAGTTTGGAAATCCGGTGCTCTCAGCGTAGAGAACAAGATTAAGATTTTAAACATTAGTATTAATCCAGTTCTCCTGAATGGTATAAAGAATTAACGTATCAGCAGCTGCCTTCACTGACTCCATACAGAAAATTAGAAAGTCAGAAAGGAAGTCTGGTAATGAAAGAACTGCCAAGAACCTACTGCACAGTAAATATGTCGAAAAAGATGGAGATGGATCAGACACAGGTTGAAGAAACTATTAAGTGAGTTGGGTATGGGTTTAAGAGTGACATAGAGAAATTCGTGTGAGCAGGAGATTAGAGCTTTTGGGCTAAAGAGGACTGTAGATATCAGGATAAAGTGCAGGCGTACTGATGAAGCCGTATATTCCACTTAGAATCCAAAGAACCAGTATGTAACAATAACAATATAATTATGCAAATTACTGATACATCGTTAGCAGCACAGACACGTAGTAAGAACTTCTATCCTTTAAAGTTAAGTTAAATAAGTTCTAATCATACTTAGTTATTTTCAATATGACAGTTTTCTAATCTCTTGCATGTTTTAATCCGGCTATAATTGATAAACAAAGCCTTTATTCAGTTTAACGACGTACAGTGACAGAGAATGTCATAACGTGAAATGTTATGCGGACCAGCTGATTAGAAATGTTGTGTTTTTTTCTTATAATACATCCTGGCATCTTGTTCTGTGTTTCTGCTCTATTAAAAAAAATTAATCACTGAATTCATGTTTATTAGAAGACTCAAAAATGTGTGTGTAAAACGGAGCAGTCGATGCTCTCCTTTTTGCTGAGAACAAAAGAAAGTACTCTGCATAGAAGTACACCGCATCATAAAGAGAAGAACCCAAAAATAAACAGACATCAAAGTAAAGAAATATACACGTGAGGTAAAAACTAAGCCGTTGGTAATTAGCAAAAATGTTTTTAAAAAAAAGTACTAGAGAAATTTATTAGAGATTCAATACGTGTATACAAATAACATTTGGCGGCATATAGCTAAGATTCTGCAGCTACTGATTTTCAGGCGGGACAAAAACATCGCTAATCCTAGGTGACTGAGATCAACAGTCTAGGATTTCGTGAAACAACTGTTCATGAAATTGAAATTTGATGGGGACATGGTTAGTGAAGTCTTACATCTGAGATTATCGAGAGCAATAAAACGGATTTATACCGCCGCCAACCTTTGTTTGTCATTTTTCACCCGACCAATTATGATTGCTCAAGTGGAAGACAAGCTACCTAGCTGTGCCACTTCGATGTGTATCTACAAATTTAGTTGCTCCTGTGAACATAGCTATATAGGGCGAACAACTAGACAGCTTAAGAAACGCATTAATGAGCATCTTTGTTCATGGTTCGAAAAAGATCAAATAAAATCTATAAGAAATTCTGTTTTGGCTCATTCGATTGATAGCGGTCACCAAGTGGACAAAAATAGTGCCTTCAAAGTTATCTATCGCATTGCATTGAGCCTTTCGAACGGAATTCGAACCCACCTTTAACACATAGCCGAAGCTATGGGAATTTGAGAGAACAATATTAGTCTTTGAATACAAAAGAAGTTTGTTCTACTTTTGTCTCTGCCTTGCTTGCCTAGGTGAATTTTAATCAGAACCCTCCCACCCTTTCTTATTTTCCACCTCCTTCGTACTTTCATGATATTTATTTAAATTTTGATTATCTGTCCACTTCACCTTTAGTACCAAGTAACTTTTAAGATTTGACCTAATTTATTTATTGAATTGTCTACGTATACACATATTACTACCTTTGTTATTCTTATCGCCACCTGCATAAACCTTATTATCAATATTTTATTATCATTATGATCATCTTTATTAACTACATTCAAAACATTTACCATATTATTATTATTACTTAATCAACAAAATCACCGTCACTGTTTAAAATTGTTATGTATAAATCTATGTAAATTAGAGTAAAGCCTGAAGATCTAATAGAAAACAATATTGCTCACTTATATGTCTTGTTCTAATATATGAGATGTCTCCATGTAATTTATTTTATTCCTTTACTTTCACAGTGGAACACAGGGCTTCAAGCTAGAGGCTTGAAGTCTTGGCAGCACTGATGCTACGTTTTACGAGCTGTGTTTGCTAGCCTCTCATGCCCAACTTTCCCCATTTACCAGTCTTATTACTGGCTTAGCGAGATAAATGAGTGCGGTGTCGGCCGGATATCGAACCCCCGACCACATGAGGCGTGTTTGGTGAGCATTCTACCTCTGCGTCACCGATGTACCTCGATATAATGCTAACGCTTAACTTCAGTCGCCCATCTCCATTCTACTCAGTCTACTTCCATCAATATGACTTGGTTAAACAACTGTCCACTGGCGCTAATTTCCTCTTTACAAGTTTCTCTTTATTTCACACCGGGACATCAAACTCATCGCTTCCATTTTGGGTTCCAATTGACAACCCCCCAATTAGTTGGTGTCGTCTGAATTTTTCTTCAGCATATATATACAATTTTTTGATTTGGTTGTGTTCTTTGAGAAACACAAGTGCTTATAGTGACGCTTACTTCAAGTCTCAGGGCTACATATAGGAGCACTGACTTGATGCCTTTGTTGATAATTCTGATACTGTTTCTTTGTATCTGAGTACTGTGGATACTGACCTTTTCATCATAAGGCATTTCAGAAGACCCAATGGCTTTTAGTAAACAGACTGGAGAACAAAATGAGCAGTAAGCTGCAGTCAGGTTAATTTATTTGAGTACTAAATAATTTTGATATAAAGGCATATATTAAAGCTAAGATTTTAAAAACATAAAAAACCACGATTTTCAACCTCAGATTTAATCCAATGACGTGGTGCTCGCATTTATTATTATTCCCTTGGGTTCCGAGTGAGACATAAAGCTTCAGCACGATATCATTATTTCACTGTGTTTCCTTTCAAAATACTACTCATACGATAGTCAATCGGCTGAAGTTAGAATTTAACTCTAACTTCTCTCTCTCACATACACATCTCGACAGAAGGGTGGACCTCTGATTTCATCTAGTTTCTCAAATATAACAATGTTTTTTTGAAGTGACACCATCTAGTACGATTAGTAGCTTGAATGTTTGCTTACAACCAAAGTCAAACATGGAAGCATGCTCTAAGATATTTTTCAGTTATGTATCACCATTTCGTTTTGCCCTATCTGTCTTTTCAAATAAAGATTAAAACTATATATATATATATATAAAGTCATTATTGAACCTTGATTAGTAATAACAAGAAGTAAATAAAAAAATAAAGTTACACTAATATAAATTGAAAATAACTAGTGCTAATAATAAATTATTGACAACGCTTGTTGTATGCGTGTGTGAGTGTGTACGTGTGCGTGTGCCCGACAGCGCTCCTATACGCGTTGGTGAGTTTTTCAGAAATCACCCCGTGAGATATCGGTTCATTTAAGAAGATGAAGGGTGATAACTTTGCTTAGGAATTTGTAACTTATACATATATTTATAGAAAAAGGTGTCATGTGTTGTGTAATTTTATAAAAATCAAATTCACGATTTGCACAAAATTGCCGATTTCATTTATTGCCAGTATTATCAGTTCGCTTATATATGTGGCTAGAGAGAAATCAATGAGGGGTTGGAAATGATTCTGCTGTTTTTGGGTTGAGTCAGATTGGGTACACTGTTTATGAACTCGACCGCAAACTGGTGTTTCTATCACTTCGATATTTCTCTCACTACTCATTGGTCAGTAGTATATATATGTATTCGTTTAATTTTAGCTAAGTAACCAGTAATGAAGAGTGAGATACGTGTTTCATTACGATTGAATCTTATCAGCTACATGTGTGTGCTTCTTGCGACGAGTTAAAAGTTAAACACCACATTAGACAGCCTATTTTATTCCTTTAGGTTCCCATAGTGCTTCAAGCTAGAGGCTTGAAGTTTCGGTAGCAGTGACCTCACGCCCAACCTTCCCTCTTTACCAGTCATATTACTGGTTTACCGAGGTAAAGGAGCGCGTCAGTGGCTGGGGGTCGAACCCCGGACCGCAGGAGGCGTGGTTTTCGAGCATTCTACCCCTGTGCCACCGACTCAAAACATTAGCCATTGATATAAATCATTCTGAGGCAATTAAAGTAGAAGTAATAACCGACTGAAGCTAGAAGAAATGAATATTAAAATACGGATGAACTGCAAGGGATAAAATGCTGCTATCGACGCTGACTTAAACTAAGCAGAATGAGAATGCATTGGATCAGGGTGGGTGACAATGTGATATATCCTAGGTAATCAACAGTTCACCTTCATTTCACTCTGTTCTGTGCAGTTGTTTTTAGCTGACTTCATAATTACTCATAAATCTTCACCTACTCCTCACACGATCTCCTCAGTATCTCTTTCTATATACAAAATCGCCTACATTTCTTTCCGCATATTCTGTTGAGTGATGCGTTCTTTGACGTTTCATTGCTAGAGTTCCTAGTTTCTTATTCTTCCCTACCCGGCCATCCAACCCTCAGTATCGAGCATTTTGCGTGGAGGAAACAAAACTTATCTATTGCATGTGCTCATGAGACTCGAACCCAGCACCTATATTTCTAAGGATATATTATTATTGTTCATGAGGCAAATGAATTATTTCTTCTACGAATGATGCCGCTTTCAGAGGATTATCCGTCCTATTAAGAGGCCCTTAAACTGACGGTGACTAGTGGTTTTAGTTAAGTGAGGCTGAAAAGAGTGAAAATTTATGAGTTGTAGGAATACTTATTCTATTTCAGATCTTCTCAGTCTCATTTTCTGTATAAAATGTCATTATATTCAATATTCATCTGGGAAGGACTAAAAATTTCTTGATGAGAAGCTTCTCACATGATAGGTTTCATTCATTAAGACAGAATCATGTGCAGACCGAACTTCTACACTTCACACCAATGTTGAAGGGAGAAGAGAATGGGAGAAAATTCTCTACCTCACTTTTGGCGACTTCGTCAAGGCCTTTGACAACGTTCATCATGAAGTGATTTTGAAACTGATTTTTCCAAAGTGAATAATTTTTTGTCAGAAATAATTCAGTGGTCCTTGTCAAATGGTATCAAACTAAATCCCTCCAAATGTCAGGTGGTTAATTTCACTTTCTTATGCAAGTGCGACTTAAATGAACTGGTTCCTTCTCATGACTCTATTATCATAGGTGGCCCTGAAGTTGAAACCAAAGCTAATGTTAAATGCCTTGGACTGTGTACTTCTTCAGATCACCTTTCCTCCCTCCCCTACCCGCACATCATATTAGTTCCCAGAAAAATATTTAGTTTGACGTTCTACGTGTAGGAAAACTAAGACGATCTGGTATCATTCAGTCACCGTTGTTACAATTTGTTAATTCTTTTATTCTGCCTATACTTCTTTACTGTTCCCCCTCAATCCTTCCCAGCCTACTTAAAAAAGACCTTGTTATACTGCGTAGAGCACTAAAATCTGTCAGCAGGGCGATAAGAGTGTTACTAAACCAACTCATTAATACTATCGTAGAAAGACTATTGGATCCCTCCAAGAAATTGGCAAATATTATCCTATCAGACTCTGAACATCCTCTCCTTTGCTTGCTGCATCTCATTGGGTAGAACTAGAAGCAACTATAGAAGACTATATGCACAGACAACTAAGTTTAAAAACTCTACAATACCCTATTTTGCACACACACATTTCGTATGATAAGGGAAGTGTTAAGCAGCAGGAGACTAATAAATCATAACAGAAAGACTAACCGTAAACCGTCCTCTTTATTCTTTCTTTCATTGTTGTTAATAATATCATCTGAATTTTAATTTTATATTCATTTTCTTATTTAACAATTTATTCTCACTTATCAGTGTTAACGCTCTGTTGAATCATATTATTATATTATTATTATTATATAGTGAGAAAATTACACGAAGTTTTTTGTATACACGCTAAGAAATTCCGTACTTGTAACAAAAGCACTATTTAGAATAAAGCTTTTATTATTGATTCAACACTGTGAAATATGGTAACAGAAACCACTATAAACAGCTATATGATGATGATGCCACATGCCAGGTAATAATTCATAAAGGAAAGTTCAGTGAAGCCTTTGACGTAAATAAAGGAGTAAATCAGGACTACCTACTATCACCGATGATATTCGCCATTGTGGTTGGACTGAATCAAACAACGGACCATGGATAAGGAGACTTTGAATGGGGAAAAATCCTAGGTAATCTGGATTTCACTGGCAATTTATGTCATGTGTCTCAAAAAGTCGCAGATTTAAAAGCGAAAATCAACAAGCTGGTAAAAGAGTTAGGGAAGGCAAAGGTGATGAAGATATCCGAGAAACAACAACAAACATTTGTGCATTACTCTTTCAACTACTGGGGACTCGTATGGCAGTTTCAAAGCAAGCTAAGATGGAGCAAGGAAAGTTAGATAGGCTTCTAGTCTTTTGATATCAATCTAGAGGTTTATGACATTTAGTACAAGAGGACAGATCAAAATTATTAATTCTAGTGTAAAGTTAATATTCCCATCAGACCTATGTAGACTTTTGCCAACATCTGCCTTCACTGGATAGTAAAGAATAGATGGCCAGCCAAAGAGGATAAACAGTTAATAATTGTATCAGGAAGGAAATGGTGATGGACTAGGCATCTACTGAGGAGAAATTCAAGTAATATCACACGTCAGGTGCTCCCAGCTGGTTGGGTGTCTAAGGTTCACATGAAGAATATGATGTGAAGACGAAATGGAAGCCTGTGAGCAGTAGTAGAGCCAGTTGAATGTGACAGTAGAGAACCAACTAGGATTCATATGTGCCTGTGAGCCCATCATCACATTCAGAGCATAAGACATAAACAATATTAAAATCCAAGAATTTGTTTGTAGCCATTTTGATTTGTTTCAGGCTTGAACATGGATTAACATCAGTTAGCGAACCACTGAAAACATGTACTGGACAGTTGTTTCGTCCTCTTGAAAATTAATCTGATGCCCACTGGTGACTGCCTGCAGGATAAAGTCGCCTGAAATTCTAGTGAGATGTCCTGACTAGTGGGATTCATCCAGTATGGAGTGAAGACAAATACCCACCGTTAACATTGGTTGGTGCCAGTCGAGCTTAAATCACTAAGTGATCGGAGTTTCAATTCATATGCTGGCCGTTGAGTCGGGTTCCAGTGGCTGAATGGTCTACGACCTTGTCTTGTAACCAGAAGATCCTGGGTTCGAAACCCAGTGGGTAAATACTCCCGATGAGTATCAGTCTAGAAATAGGAAACAGTTACCCAGTACTCCTTTTTGGTTTTCAATGGTTCTCTAACTGACACCAGTCCATAATCAAACTTCAAGCAAACAATAATATCAAGATATTACTAATTAACATTAAATTTTTATACAAAATATATATTTTCAAAAAATATCCTTTTCTACTTACATCATAAATTAAGATTTGAAATGCTGTTAATGAGGATATAATGAAGGCGTGAAATGCAAATACCACATCGTTTGTCAGTACTGGTATTGTACCCAAAGGATTTCTGCTTAAATATTGTTGCTATATTTAGAAAAAATGGAATTAAAACAGAAGGAAAAGATTATCCATAGAATTATACCTGCACTATAAATATTTAAACATATTTATAGTATTATGTAAATAGAGTATATATATAACATATTATTACCGTTATTTTATTGCTTTACATTCCGCGAAGAACGTAGAACTCCAAACTAGAGCTTTGAAGATTCAATAGCAGGGGTTTTATTTCTACGGGGTGGGGTCACTAGTCTGACTTCCAACCTTCCCACTTCACCGACCCTACTACCGGCTTAGCGAGGTTTAGAAGTGCGTCGGTTGGAGGTCGATCTCCCAACCACATGTATGGTTGGCGAACCTTCTACTGATGAACCACTGGGGAACTCCAGTTACTCAACTTCGTTTTAATCAAAGGATATTATGGCAAGAACTACTGTATGAAATGAAATTTGTTAAGTATGCATTGCCCATCAACTTCTAGTTGGACTGTTCTAAGATGACCAGCTTTCTATCAGGAGTCAGCAAATGGTCTTCGTCTAATGGTCTCAAACTAAATCCTTCTGAACGTCAGACTGTTAATTTCAGTTAGGTGAAATGAAACTGTTAATTCCCATGACCGTTGTAGAATTGATGATAATGATATGGAAATCAAGTTCAACGTTAAATATCTTGCACTTATTCTTCCTTCTGATCTATCCTGGTCTTCCCATTTCTTAACGATTTCTAAAAATATTCCGTCTAACTTTTTATATTAAAAGGTTAAGGCATTGAGGCATGGCTCAACCCCTCCTCTCACAGTTTGTCAACTCTTGCATCTCACCTATTCCTCTTTACTTTTCGCCCTTTTTTCTTTCCTGGATTGCTTAAAAAAGACTTTGTCATACTTCACAAAACTTTGAAGACTGTCGGTCAATAGGGCGGGGGGTATTCCACTGGGCCATATCGTTGAAGTCATCATTGATGGGCACTGGATTTCATGCAATACATTTGCTAAAGGGGTTTTGTCAGACTGTGAGCATGCACTTTACCTGCAGTTTGAGCAGTAATTTGTGCTCTAAATGTCATCAGTAAATATTACTGTACTACACTGTGTGAGTTATCAAAATAAAATCTTATCCATAATGGAGTTATATTCTACCACAGTGCCCAAGTTTTATACGTGTACCGCAGTTTTCATCTTGTGTCGCCTGAGATTGAACAAGAAGTCATTTCAAAAGACTTTATGCACGTACGCCTAAGTATAGGAATTCTACGATACCATATTCGGCACGTATTTTATGTGATGAAAATAGTGTCGGGGACGAACTAACCTTCTTTCCACTTGTAAATAAACAATTTTCTCCATCCTTATCCCATGAAGCTTTATTGTTATTGTTCTTCTTCTATTTATAATCCTCTCACTGTTTTTATTTTTTTATTTTCTCATAAGTGTGCACATCATTTAAGGTTATTGTTGTTATTTATTTTGTTTCACCCTTCACCATGTACTATCAAGAGAACAATAGATTCAGTAATCTATAACATGCTAAAAATTTCCATACTGTATCAACAATACTGTTTATAACAAACACACTGTTATTATAATTATTATTGTTATAGTTATTATCCGCACTTTGTACTTTGCACACTGTTGACTCTCTTCCTATTGTAAATCTGAACAAATGCCTTTGGTTAACTGTATTTATATTTTCAGTTAATTACATGCAATATTCTGACAAATGCTGAGAATTCCATGCTGTATTATATAAGTACTGTTTCTCTTGGAATAAAGCAGATTATTAGTATTACTTCGTTCACGAATAATGCCCATCCAGACATCAAAATAAAAGCAAACAGCTCAGTGGAGAGTCTCTTTTCGGAGAATTTATTCACTTAACTCGTTTAATTACAATTATATACAATTATTTCTGTATTTGTGTGTAGGTCTTAAGCTTGTCGAGCACGAATAAAGATTAATTTAGGTTATTGCTTACGTCAGCGGCAATTCTCAATACAGTGATGAATATTCAGAATTGAAATCAGAAAAAGGTGAGGTTTAATACGTTTAGACTAAGATTGCTTAATGTGAAAAACCTCCAGAAAAAGTTGGGTGCTCATGTAAAAAAGCATGGAGTCGATTGTCGAAGTTAATTATGCAGTAGATGAAGAGAGTGAACAAAAGGTTGGTTAAAATAATGTCAAAAACATTTCATACGAAAGTAGACAAAATAATGAGCTAAGAATCATACCCAAACTGGGAAAGGAGAGAATGGAGATGTCACATCTGTGTGCATAAACCAGAGTTTTCCATCCGATTCGCTAAGGCCTCCCCAGCAATGCAAAGTGTACGGAGGCACACCACTTTCTCTGGGCTCCTTTCGACTTTGTAGATAACTTTGAATGAGATTTCCTCACATGTTGAGTAGTCAGTGTTGAATATATATCCAACTTCAGCACTCTTTATTGACCCTTTGTGACGTTTCTGTAGCCCAGCTCGGTAGTGCTTTATGACTGTTTTAGATAAAATAAGTGCCAATAGTGACCCATATATCTCGCTCCACAATAAGTAAATTGTTAAATGCATACGGAAGTGGTCAGATGCGATAGTTTATTTAAGAATCAGTGAAGAACTTTGGGCGGTAGGAGAATACCAATCTTAATATCACAGCAAAGAATGTCTTTTCAGAAGGCTTGATAGTCTCTTCTTTAGAGTGTTGACCAGAAGGTCTCCGTTAAACGCCACATTCATGTATAGCATCTTATATCCATCAAAGAGCTGGGGTATTCTTTGTTGGTCTTGGGAGTAGACATCTTCACGTAATCTCTTTCTCGAAAGAGTGATCACTTCATGTACTGACTCAGGGCTACAGATTTGTCTCAACTTAGTCTCAAAGAGATATTTACAGACTCCGCTTGCGATTTATTGGTACACAATGGTTTATTTCATTCTACTAGCATCAAATGTCTTGTTACTTTTGTGACATGAGTACACACAAACGATGTCACTGCATGCTCAAAATTATTGACCACCTTGATCATTAGAAGGCAACCAATGTCATCAGTCTATACCTTAGTGTTAGTGATGACTGAATTGTATCAGTCAAGTTTGCAATGAGATCGCCAAACCAAGTGACTAGGTTTCGTAGCTAGCTGGCACTCATCACCAGGGTGTATCCTTTACGTCGAAAGAGATGATGCCATTTTTTCGAGAACTCGAACCCATGCCACTTAGTGCTATGCAGCCATAGAGCTTATCACAGAGTTTTTCAGCCACACAATAGACCTCTTATAAAAACACTAACGGATGAACTGTGTGGCTGGTTACAAATCAGTAATTAGTATTATTACTAAATATTTTCATTTTTAATCGCATAAAAAATGTTTGAACTTACAAGATTATGATAAATGGCTTGACTACAAAAAACTACCCTTATATATTTGATTCTATACACAAAAGGGATGATTCATGTTTTGAGCACATTCCAATGACAGTTAATCCTACCATTAATATTCCAAATTCTTGAAAATATTAATCTGTATGTGATTTTTGATTTCTTTTTTCATAAGCAAGAGATTGAAATGCTTTAAACTAATGTCTGGTGGTCATATTAAAATGATATATATAAATATGAATGTATAAATTCTCATTTGTATTATTCAAACAATTTTTATTGTAGTACAAATCATTGAAACTTTGAACATTAACCTGAAACTGTTAAATATTTATTTTGCCTTTCAGGGTACATGAATTATAGGAATGATAACTAAAATATTTTGTGTATATATTTATCAAGTTTAACATCATATTTGGCTTTGTAGACATGATTTCTAACAAACATGGGAAGGTACCAAACATCTGACTGGGATCAAGTTTGACCATGAGTTGATTTCAGGAGTGGGAAGACAGAAATATGTTCGACCGTTATGAAGTTCTCTAATATATCTGGACTTCCCGGATGATTTATGTCCAATGTCACAAAAATTGAAAGAATTACAGGCGAAAGCCGTTAATTTTACAGAAAAGGCAGGCAGCAAAGACAGGATTTCAGTTAAACATAACGAAAACTGAGGTGATGAAGGTAATCAGGCAATATTAGCAAGCATCAATCACTATTAAAGGAATAAATTTGAAAATGGTCTCCTCATTAACCTATCAAGGAAGCATCGTTTCAGCTGCAGACATCACAGATGCCGATGACGAAACTAGGATCGGAATAGTAAGGTACACCTTCATCAATCTGAAACCAATTAGGAAATCTGCTGAAATCAGTATAAAGAGAGAAATTTTGATTTTCAGAGCCAATGTTACATCGCCTCTTCCGTATGGGTCAGAAACTAGGTGAGTCACTGAAATCATTCTAAACAGACATCAGAACTTCATCAACAGCTTCTTTTGCTGTCTCTATATTAAGGATCAGATGGCTAGCCAAAGGAAATTAGCAACAACAAACTCTGTGAATGAATCAATCAAGAACAAACTGCTCAACAAATATTCCGAAGGAAGAGGAGATGGACTGAACACACACTGAGGAGACCATTGGGTGATATTGCGCTCCAGGCCATCGAGTGGAACCCAAATGTGAGACGATAAGTTGGATTAGGGTGAGAGAAAGGTGATATAGAGGAGATCCATGTGAGGGAGAGATAGTAGCCTACCGATAATTATGGGCCGGCTGAAGAGGATTGTCGAAGACGGGACAAAATGTAGATGTGTTTCTGAAGCTGTATGTTCTACTCGGAATCCAAGGGAATAATTTTAATGGTATATTTTCACTTCATGAGTCGACAGAAGTCAGAGCTCATGGATCAGCAGATTCCATTTCAGAGGCTGAATAGTCAACCGGCTCATACAAGAGTGATCTCTGATGGGATCATTGCTGAGTACTGTTGAAGAGTCCCGAAGTAGTACGAAGCATTATTGCGATACTCATCTGACCTTCAGTGTTTATCTGACTGAAATCAAGTCGCAATCTAGCCTGAAACAAATTTACTTAGCAACAGTCTTTAAAATAATTTATTGGGAATCGAAGTTTTCGGTAGGA